ATAATGGAAGAGTAGAGATAGATTATTACCTACGTGTAGTGTTCCTGATATTATTGTACATTTCCCGCAAAAGTACTTGTGGTAGTGTTCTTCAAAATTTTGTGATAGGTTGCATATTCAATATTTCTACTACCAATTCTAACTTTGAAAACTTTATATTGTATGAAAATACACATTGCCCTAAATATTAATGAAAGAGTCAATATTTATTAATTAATGACTCATTATATTGAAACTCATGTTTACCTTTTTCCCATCCTGGATTTTCAATTTACTAAGCCCTTACAATAATTTGGTGGAGATTGGTGATCGGGTTTGATCTTTTGACTCTCACTGCTACAATTATCATATCCATATGTGATGACTTGTCCTGATTTGTGTCCCGTGATAAATTGTTCAACCTAATACGGACAAACGGATATGGATATGGAGAGAGACTCCAACCATTTCTAATGCGGGAGTGATTGATGTAATGTAGGGATAATTCAGAATAGTGGTCGCTGAAGTTAAGTGGTGACTTGAATTGTGAAACAAAGAAGAATTGGAGCTTGAAGAATTATTATTTTATTAATACCTCAAATTACTTTGACTTTCCACCCATGAAGTAGCGAGACAACTGTAAAATAAAACAGCAAAGAATGAAAAGACATAATAGTCCTTCCGTGATGTGCGCAGAGCTCAGCAAAAATTGAATTGGGCGAGTGCTATGGGGAACCTCCTTATATAATTTGTAGGATGTAGGATAACATTTCATATTTATAAAATCCGTTTGTGTTATGGATAGGGACACAGTTAGCAGTGGAGTCAGAAATTTAGCTAATCAATGTCAAAAGAAAAAATAACTTAGTTTTTATTAATGTTTTATGTTGCGGTTACTTAAACCGTGTTAGTATTGGGCCTTGTTGGGCCTCGTCTGATTCATTGGATTAGGGTTTTAACCCTAAGTTTATCTATATAAGCTTAGCTATCGACTTGTGTGATAGCAAACCGTCAAGATGTAATCCTAATAAGAGATCAGTCGTGAGCTCTTATGAGCTCACCGTGGATTAGTCTCGATCAATCAATCGATCGAGGATACCACGTAAAATCTTGTGTTGTGTGCTCGTTTCCTTCCGCATCATCAAATTCTATATGGTATCAGAGCGAATCTCGATCCTTGATTAGGGTTTGAGCTTCCATCCCTCCGCTTCCGTGGTTTCTCGTTTTGGATGAGCAGTCCCGCGCTCCATACGTCCAAGTGACATAGGCGAAGTCCAATCCGCTTGTTCAATCATCCCTGCTTCATTACCATCATTGACGGCGCCATCGTTGGTCACAGTCAAGGACCCGGGAGTCACGGCGTCAACTGTGAGACACCTTCCTCGAGCTCACGTCGGGCATCCAGTTCTGTCCTGAATCGCTCATCCGTGGGGTCATTGTCACAGTCGCTAAGTCACAGGTACTCTGCAGGAGAGCCGATATTCAGTCCGTTTCCCTAGCTACCGTGTGATCCCGACGGGCCTAGATCCAGCGAAGTTCATCCCGACGGGCATAGATCCTCAACAATCGGGAAAAGAAGTTGTTACTCCTCCGGTCCCTCCTCTGATCGTCATCATTGCCAGTCGCAGAATGCCAAATCACAGTCACCGCCTCCATCAAATTCGGCAGTGCCATCATGGTTGTCCGCTCCAATATAATTTTGGAGCTCCGTCATTATATTTGCCTCGTCGGAGCTTTCCGCCTCCGACTTGGTCATGCACAAGGATCTCAATCCAGGTCTATTTCCATCACCTATAATCAAAATTTTGTTTGATGGAGTCGATTGGCCGCTGATGCTACATCTTGCGGCGTGGTAGTCGGGTTTTTTACAATTTGCTGGTGTCGGGTCATCTTCACCAAACATTGCCCCCTGGATGTATGTTTTGGCTCCTCAAGTTATTAATTCTACTGGTTGTGGGGCCTTAGCTTTTGCGACAAATATCAAAGCCTTGCAGTTGCACGTCCTTGTAGCAAAACACCATATTGGTTCCGTTTGAGTTGTTGAGTCGGTAAACTCCAATTCAAGCCGAGAATTGTTGATTGCAGTTCTTTGTATGGTGGTCTATCATTGGGCAGTGGAAGGTGAGTTTTAGCACCAAGATCAAGCACTTTGATCGGTTTCAACCATCCGGGTAACGAGGCCTTCACGTACCATAAATTGGTCGTCCCCTGGCGTTCAAAAGGTAGTACGATCATAGAAGTCATCGTCCCTTCATCGTCCAGCTGGCATTCACGATCAAAGAAATGGTCGTCCCCTCTTCCGGTTCATTAGTGGGCACATATTAACCATTCATCACCTTTCAAGCCGGGCATTCACGATGTTCATGCTCCGGCTTGAGGGGGAGAATAGGAGGTCAACATACGTCGGTCGACTAACTCAGTCATCAAGTCGACCGTGATGCACCAAGTGTGTTCCAGTTCAAGAGACGCAGTCAACCGTCTCCATCGTCAGGTTGTTCAGAGAGAGTCAGTCGTCTCTAATCAACCTTGTCTGAGATGTTATTCATCTTGAGTTTTGTGGTTCAAGCCATCATGCTTGTTCTTCACATTTACTTCTTCAAGCTCGACATTCTTGTCATTCATGTCTTCGCTTGAGGGGGAGTGTTGCGGTTACTTAAACCGTGTTAGTATTGGGCCTTGTTGGGCCTCGTCTGATTCATTGGATTAGGGTTTTAACCCTAAGTTTATCTATATAAGCTTAGCTATCGACTTGTGTGATACCACGTAAAATCTTGTGTTGTGTGCTCGTTTCCTTCCGCATCATCAAATTCTACATTTTACAATAATCTACAAGGTGTTTTCATATGTTAAAAATTATCTAAAACACATTTATCGTCCAAATTGATGGTGGATAACAAAGAGGTCCTCTGTATTTACTATTGCCATTTATGATTCCCCCTACCACGTAACGTTTGTTGGGATATAGGGCTCGGCCCAAGTGTATATATTGAGTTAGGCCCTTTTGTGTGTTAGCCGTGCTCTCTCTCCATTCCTTAGGAGACTCGGCGAGGGTTAATTAGGAATATATAAACCTACATATGTACTCTGTAACAATCATCTGAATAAGAAGATTACTGTTTCGACCGTGGGCTAGTCTCGTTCTCCCTGGACAAGAAAACCACGTAAACACCGTATCGATTATCTTTTGTTTCCGTTCCGATTAACATCGTTGGCTCATTCGTAAAAAGAGATGAGAACTATAAACAAATTCATTATTCCCTCCTATTTTCTAACTTGCTTTTCATTGCCCAAAACATCTTTTCTTTATAAGGATGACATATGTTTATTTTTAATGTTAGGTTTTACTTAAAGCATTTGAACCTGGGATCTCTAAGTTGAAAAATCAGTAATAGTATATCACTGGATCAAATTCTTATTCGCTTCCATTGCCTAGAACATCTTGCTTCTCTTTCCTTTTCGAAGCCTTTTTCCAATCTCTCCACGTAGTATGCAATGGGCTATCATCCTAATATATAGTCATTATTGGGAGGTTCAGCGGCGGATCCAGGACCCAGTAGAGCACTGAGCCGCATTTCATTAAGAAATTAGATACCGTAAAAAATGATAGTTTTTTTTTACAATATCAATTATACACGTCCATCTTTTAAATTTTAATATAGTGAATTCAACAATAATGGAGTCTACATCCATACCAATAACATACTCTCTTTAAGATAAAATAGTTACTCAGTTGGCGAGAAATTCATCGCTCATTTTGTTGCGCAAATAATTTTTCACCTATTTTATTATTGAAAAGGTTCTCTGCATAGTAGTTGTTGAAACGAGCAATGTCAACACTAGACAAATCAATTGACTAATCAATATATATTGTGTATCAATTTCTACTTTCACCAGGTGCTCTAGTAATTTCTTAAGCGAACAAACCTCATATTTCTTTTAGTCTTTTACGTTTTAGAATTTTAGGTTTCATTGTTTGTTTTTCTTTAGATGAGAATCATTGGAACTAGAATTTGCAGGCTAAATTTAGAGTTGTGATTTGAATATGTTCATCTTACCCATTTTCCTAATTACACACAATCTTATTATAAAATAACACTAGAACGAATGGCTAACATCGATAAACTCAGAAGGACTATACTAGCTCCGGATCCAGAGGAGGGCTGGGCCGTGGCCCGGGGTGGCCACCCCCTGGATCCGCCACTGGGGAGGTTCCAAACATCGTTGTCTTGTATACCAAATATATACAGGTAGCATATCGACGCTTACGAGCTCATACATAGCATATGTGGGAGATGAGAATCTCAATATAACTACTGGGTTCTGACTGAACAAATGAAACATCGCAACTCGGTTAAACGGTGTGATACACTGATAAAGAGGTTGTTCCGGGGAGCAAACTTAAAAGTTCAGTTTGCAATCCAAACGCTTTATATGAAACCATTAGTAATCAACCAACCGACCTCATGATCCATTTCGGTCTGGCCAGGTTATGAAGTTCCAAAGAACACGTAGTTAACCTGGTTTAACTTGTTGTGCTTGACAGGAAATGACAAGTTGTCCCAACAGAGATAAACATGTCTCTTAATTTTGCCTATTATCATGTCACGCTCTAGACATACCATTCCCTGTATTTTTACGGTGGTAACTATTGAGATGAGGTGTTATATTCAAATTTCAAACAACAAAATGGTAATCATGTGGACGAAAAAAAAAGAAGGTGAGAGCTCAGCAGTGCCTTCGTTTTCCATCAGAGATGAGGAGAATTGCGAAGGACCACTTCGCAGAGGCAGGAATCATCACAGCTCTCAAGTTTGCACCAGCCGGGAATCGAACCCGGGTCTGTACCGTGGCAGGGTACTATTCTACCACTAGACCACTGGTGCTGATTGTTGACAATCCCACATTCTTTAATATATATTGTATGTGCATATATCGCATGTTTATGAAAATCAACTCGATTACAAATACTCAAAATCCAGATCTCGCGCGGCTTTACTTTCTTCCCACGCTTCACACTAACGCCCTCAAACCCTATCCAAAAAACCTAGTCTTCCCCGCCGTCGCCGTATCTCTGTCGGTCAGTTCTCTCCTCCTCCTCCTAATCTCTCCGCCGGAGCTTCCGTCTGGTTCTCCCTCGCGATTATCGACCTATTTGCCTTTGCTGTTCTGTTCTGATTCGATTGAATTTGTGTTTTCTTTTACTGGCAGGTCGGACAGGGGTTTCGATTTTGTTGCTCCGTCATGTCGAATTTCCGGGAACTGAAGAAGACGTTGAAGCGCCCTGAAGGTTTGTTGTTTCTCAACGTTTTCCCTCAGTTCTTCCTCTGTTGTGTACAATGGAATTGCTTCAATTTACGGATTAGGGAATCTAGGTCGTGGTTTAGTGTTCTTTCGTTCTCTGCTTTCGAAGGATGTATTAGGTGTTTGATGCTTGCCTCTAGTTAATTTTACTGTCTCCCATGGTTCTAATTGAATTCGGTTTCTGACTATCAGGACCAATCCAGCACTTCAATGCAGAGGTCGAGAGGGCAATGGAGGAGATGGAAGCTGAGGACAAGGAGTTCGCGGAGCTGGAACGAGAGTTTGATGAGGAACCGAGGATGCCGCGTGCTCGAATTGGTACTGCCCCGGAAGTAGTGGATGTTTGTTGCCTCCCCTGTTAATTTTACTGTATTCCTCCATGGTTCTAATTAAGTTCGGTTTCGACTACTATTAGGAAAAATCCAACACTTTAATGCAGCGGTCGAGAGGTCAATGGTGGAGATGGAAGCTGAGGACAGGGAGTTCGCGGAGCTGGAACGAGAGTTCGAGGAGGAATTCAGGATGCCGTGGGCTCGAATTGGTACTACCCCGAAGTAGTGGATGTTTGATGCCTCCCCCGTTAATTTTACTGTCTTCCTCCATGGTTCTAATGAAGTTCAGTTTTCGACTATCAGGAATCCAGCATTTTAATGCAGCGGAGGAATCCAGGACGCCGCGGGCTCGAATTGGTACTACCCCGGAAGTAGTGGATGTTTGATGCCTCCCCCGTTAATTTTACTGTCTTCCTCCATGGTTTTAATTAAGTTCAGTTTTCGACTATCAGGATCAATCCATCACTTTAACGAAGCGGTCGAGAGGTCAATGGAGGAGATGGAAGCCGAGGACAAGGAGTTCGAGGAGCTGCAACGAGAGTTCGAGGAGGAATTCAGGATGGAGCGGGCTCGAATGGGTACTGCTCCGGAAGTAGTGGATGCTGCAGCTTGGCACGGCAATGGTGCACCTCGTGCTGCTGGTGGAGGTCTTAGGCGCCCGAGAGACACACATCCGGAGGCTTATTGGCATCAAAGGAGATGACAGATTGCTGCTGTTCGGACAAAATCAAAGAAAGTTAACTCTTAGAAGGACAGTGATCAACGGTTTGTTGAGCCGAGTTGTTAGAGTCACAATCAGTTTATGTCATAGAACGTTTTCATAAGAATTACGGAGGTCACGTTGTTAAGTTGAAACCGAGATGAGTCGATTGAGTTATGTATTCAAAAGTTTGATTAGCATTGAATAAAATTTATGGGATTCAGCTGAGCTTTCTTTTCTCCCCCATTTCCCGCGAGAAGTTCGACACGAAAGAATGAAAATGATACGATACTGCGAAGTACGAAACAGTGCACGTGTCGCCGCGTTGGAGGAAACAGATGATGAACGGAGTTTTCTCCCTTTCCATTCATTTGATTCCTCTTCATCAGCTCTCATTTTCTCGTCGTCTCTTTCGTGGAGTCGTCGGTAGCTAAGCTAGTATAGTAGCAAAGCAGTACTGGCAGTAGCTGTGTGTGAAATCCGACATCCAAAAAGGAAAAAGGGAAGAGCTTTTTTCCCCTTTTTTGGGAGCGAAATGCTCCTCTTCTTCTTCTTCCTCTAACCACGCGAATCCACAATCTTCTTGTCCTCCCTTCGTCAAAACCCTGCGATTCTCTTTGCGGCAGCCAATTCCGCCATTGAAGGGTGCCGCTGGGTCTCTCTGTGTCTCTTTCCCCTTGTTTTCGTTATGGGTAAGAGGAAGCGAAGTGGCTCAGCTCCCCATCATCATAACCCGCCAACCGATCCTTCTTCTTCCCCATCTCCATCTGGTACGATCCTTTCGTTCATTTTGGCTGATTTTTCGTCTGGTGGGTTCGTTGGTTTCGGGGGAAATTTTGTTGCTTGGACGGGGATTTGAGGAAGCTGTTGAAATTGGATGATGGGTTATGTTTTAACTTGGCTAGATTGCATGAATCTTTGAGAATCGATTGAGCTGGGTTTGTTGTATTTACTGATATCTAGGGGGAACTCCCGAGAGATTTGTTTGCTTTTGGGTAAAATTTTGGCATCTTTTACTCATGTAGAATGTCCAAATAGGAAAGATTAGGTCTTGGTTTTAGTTGTATCCTTGTTTGTTTTTCGACTTTGATTGATTGAGCTGTGGATTGTCATTTTACCAAATCGAAAATTGGGAAATGGAGATCCTGAGAGATGATGTTGTTTGGAATTGATAATGCAGTCATTGTTTTTTTGGCCTTCCAAAATGATTGCCTCTACATGCAAGAAGCTGGAGATGGCTATGTCGAATCCCTTTTGTTCATTGTGGAGCTTACATCGAATGATCACGAATAGAATCAGACTGTTCAGACTTTGTGATAGGACGTGATAGCAATGGCAATCTGTTGTATTTGTGGTTTGTGCATAGCATCTTCCTTAATTGTAGTTTTCGGATTGAAAACTCGAATTGCGGTTTGGATGGATGTAAGCATGAAACTTCCTAACAAACTGAGGCACATTTCAAAATTTGGGGATCTCTTGCTGTATGATCAGTAGCCTGCATCCTTTCCTTTTCTGGCTTTTGCCTGTGTATTCTAGACAGGGAGTGCCCCACAATAGTTTAGATAAGAGAAACCGGCGGTCTCGTAACGAACAATTGCTATGTGAGATAAGAACTCTGTTTGTGGCTCGTGTTTATTCTATATATATTGGACGGAATATGTTGATTCATACTGTGAATGTGAATGATGCAGGTGATATGCCCTTCTCTTCTGGAAGGGGATCACTACCCCACGAGGTTTGTCTTTTTGGTTTCATTTCGGTTTTCTTGCGTGGTCTGGGTTAATTGTTCGTTTGATAGAATCAATGTATGACGTTAATTTATCATCTTTAACATTGGGATCAAGCACGTTCTGTCATCCTTACCTTCGCAGAGACGTTCTCATTTGCTCGATTCTGCTGAACTGAAGCCTCCTTCGCTAGGGATGCAAGCACAAGAGAACTCCACCAGATTGCTCAACTTGCACTCGTCTCTCTCACAACAGCACTACAACCTTGGTCGATCGATATCGCTGAAACGATCACGTCATCATTATGGACATCATTACTCTCGTAGGAACACAGGAAGCCATGCTGGTCCATCATTGCCTTCTCATGGGAGGAATCACCACCTTTCACACGATGAGAGACTCCCCTTCAAGTTTGGCAGTCAACACGAAGCAAGTCTACAGTTCAGGCATCAGGGAGGTGAAGTTAACCTAACGACTGAGTTTACTTTTTCCTTATTGTGCATGCTGCAATAGTGGTAGGGGTAGTTAATTGCTTCCATTTCCGGTTAACGTATTGCAGTATGGACATTAGCCCAGTATCATCTGCTTGTAGTTTCTCCACTTTTTTTCTTTCTCCCTAATACTGTAATACACATTCCTCCCTCTCAGATTACAGGGAAAAAGCTGATTTCATCCGACCGGAGAGGATCCGGTTCAGCTCATTAGTAACAGATGTTGTATCCTCCTCAGACTCAATAAAGATGGTATGCGGGATCTGCCAGAAGCTGTTGAGACGAAAGCCTTACTCCCTTGGTGACTTGCCATCATCCTCCGGTGAATATGCTGTTGTAGCTGTTCTGGTTTGTGGCCATATGTATCATGCGGAATGTTTGGAGGAGAATACGAGCCTCGAGAACACAAGTGACCCTCAATGCCCACAGTGTTGTGTGTAGGTTACCTCTCTCAACTGAAGTGGACACACGATCTGTAACTTCTGTAGATATACAGCAGATAGTTTTAGATGGATAACTAGAGAGAGACATAGGTGGCGTCTGGTTGTTGTAAGAGTGTCTCTGGTGCGATTTCTACGACTTTCGGTTGAGCTGGGTACAATGTACCTTGTAATTTGTTTAACCACTGCTGTGCTAGGATTATAGAAGCAACAATGGCTTCCTTATTATGTTCAGTTACAGGCAAGTATCTCTGTTGAGTACTAATAGACGAGCAACAGTGGCTTCCAATTGGTTTGGATCCAGTTTAATTCATCCAAATCCCTGTAACTATATCTGAATTTTGGACAAGGATTATCATTTTAGTACCTAAATGTTTTCGGCCTTAACATCAAAATTTCAAGAGTGTCACACTGCAACTAACAAGGGCAAGTCAAGCAAACAGATAAGTTGCATTTCTCCTTGAAAACACTAATAGAGATAATCAGTCGAGCAATGGAAACTGTACAGAGCAATGATACAAGGGTAATCCCAAATATGAAATTATCTTCTACGATTCATCTTTGTTCACCTCCTCAGTTAGCATCAAAGGCTCCTTGCAGGTGGCTTCGTAATGTCCCTCTCCCTTGCACCTGGTGCACAAAGCTTTCAACTTCTGTTCTCCTAGGTTGCTGCTTTCTTTCTCCGTGGATTCTCCCCCCTGGTCCAGCTCTTCAAGCAGGTGTTGTTCTTCTGGCTGCTGAGCTCCATCGGCCTCCTTATCTCCCTCCTCCGAAGGAGGCTCCTTACAAGTAGCCTTGTTATGCCCTTCGCCTTTGCATCTTGTACACAAGATTATCCTCTTTAGTTCCCCTCTACTTTTGTAATACCTCTCCCTAGGCAAAGGCGGAGGCCTTGGCGTTGTAGGAGGAAGCACAACTGCAGTAGACTCGGTCATCTCCTCATCGTTTTCTTCCTCAGGAGGACTGTAAGGGTCTGTAACAGGGTTTATCGACCCAGAGTAAGCCGCACGATATTTCTCGACTGAGAAGTATTGCGAGCAATAATCATACGCCACATGTCCAGTCCGAAGAGAGACAGCAATCGCATGACGACATGGAAACTCATTCACGACCCACTCTAAACATGTGCACTTCCTCGAGTCGGTATCCACGACATTGATCAAACCGTCGTGAACCTCAAACAGGATCCCATTTGAGAATAGCACCTTGTAAGATCGAGCTCTCGCCCCTTCCTCCTGAAGCTTCTTCTCCTTGGAAGGAGTGATTCTCAAAGTAGTCATCCAGCTATCTGATTCGGTTTTACGACTCTGCATCAACTCCATTATATTTCCTCTGATCGCTTCTAGCTTCATTGTAATCGGCATCTCCCGCACCTCGTCGATCCACTTTGAGTAGAAGTTTGCAGTACTGAATGAGTCTGGTTTCTCAGGAGTGTACTGCTCGCCTTTGAAATGCGAACTTGCCCAAAGTTCAGGGTCAATCTGGACAAGCCACTCATGAGCTTTTATAGAGACCTCTTTAATACGATCAAGGAGCATGTTGAAGGTTTCGAGCCGACGAGTGCATGCAGCAGCCAACATGTTTACAGGCAGAGATGGTCTGCCGTCTCCATGAAATGGGCCCTTGAGATTTCTCTTGAATTCTTCCAGCAAGTGATATAGTGAATAACGATGGTACGAACCGGTAAATACTTCGATCACTGACTCTCTCAGCTCCTTCTCCCTGTCGGAGACAAATGTTATCGGCTCTGAGCTCGAGATTGCAGACCTCAACTGCACCAAAAACCAATGCCAGCTGTCCTTATTCTCTATATCTACAATTGCGTATGCGACAGGAAAGATTCCATCATCTCCATCTAATGCACTAGCAGTCAACAAAATCTCATGGTGCTTCGATCTCAGAGGGGTAGGGTCCAGGTAAAGAACAGGGCGACAACCATTCTGGAAACCTTCTACCAATGCACGATACGATATGAAAAGGCGTTGAAATTTGTTGCTCTCATTATCAACGACGAGGTTTGTGGAGCTACCGGGATTTGCTTCCTGTAATCTCTCACAATACCAAGGCAGCTTCTTGTATGCCTCTGTGTATGAGCCCAGCATTTCCTCTCGAGCCTGTTCGATTGCACGTCGAACTTGGGCATAGTTCGGCTCAATCCCGAAGTCTCTAAATATGCCATTAGATATTTCTTTGGGTTTGTGATGTGGGCTCTCTCTGAGTCTCTCCTTGATAACATTCACCAGCCAATTTTTCGATGCATGAACCGACTTCCAAGAGTCCTCCCCACAAGTGTGTGGTTCGTCCATTTTCTTGATACGTAAAACTTCGTCATTAGGGACCCACGAGGCAAATATCTTCCAGTAACAAGCTCTGGCAGCACACACGGCACTGACTCGATTTGAGTCGTTCTTCTTAAGCTTATATCCGAATCGATGTGCTATGGCGTACTTCTGCAGGGCATCACGGAACTTGACCACGCTCTCAAATTCCTGACCCACACCAGTTATTCCATCTCTCCAAGTGGCCACCAACTGGTCCAATGAACCGTCTCTCGTATGTTCATCTATAACC